TATTTGTCTGGCACACTGGGGTGTTTGTGACTTCTCTTCCAGGAAGAGGTGCACAGTCCATAGGAAAAGGTGGTCTACTTAACACAGGAGCCTACACAATTTAGGAGGAAAGGTTAAAAGAATGGGACATGTTTAGCTGAAAGATGGAAGAGTCATCGGTACAGACTGAAACTCTTGAGTGTGACTGAGGCCATTGCAAAGAAGAGAATAATCTGTCCCCCGTGTCTGTAGGGGGTACAGTCAGAACAGTGGTTCCAATCTGCAGTGAGAGCCAGGCTACAGAGATGGAAAACCTGTAAGAGAAAGGACAGTCAAGCCACAGTTGATGGCAGATTCTTCACCAATGATAACTTTTAAAAACAGGATAGAGAAGCCTAAGCCTTGATTTACTAAGTCCTGATTGGTAAAGTTTGGTCTGGTGTCTCTAAATCCCTTTCAGACCATTGCACAGGTACAAACCAAGGGGTGATGACACACACAAACAGAAGGCAGGGTATGGCCAGTTATCAATGGCTGTGCCTTTTTAGTACACTAAGGATAGAAATATCTGAAAATCATGCTCAGTTAATCTGTGATGATCATTAGACTACTGAGACAGCTGCTTTTAAGTGTCAAAAAAGGGAAATTTATTTGTATTTAGTAATTTGTAGGTAACCACTGCTCATACATCTGACTTAATGCTCCAGTGTTCTTATGGCTCTTGAGCTGCAGCTTGAAGCTATGCAGAGAGCTGAAGTTGTGCAAATATGCACAATGTATGCAATATCCACTTTGAAATGAAAAAACCCGAAGATATTTCCTTTTCTGGTCATTGAGCATTGAGCTTGAAAAAAGTCTCGCGTTTATTTCTTGTCTCATCTCAAACAGCAAACCCCTCATCAGATTAATGCTACAAAGAGGAAATTATAAACATTTTATAAAAGATCAGGGAATAAATGCAAACACAAATAATAATGTAAATTATCTAATAGCTGGGCTCCATCCCTACTTTTTATATTACATATTTATATTTTATATTTGCATGTGAAAATGAAATTCTGTTAAATTAGGCTGACAGACTTAGAATGAGTTTCTGAATGCAGCTTATTCTGAAAGCTTACTTACAGATCATCTCTCCCTCACTCTCATGAAATGATTTCTTCAAAGCTATTAAAGAGGAAGAATTTAAAGAATTTTTCAAATTGGCTGATGCAGAGTAGTTTGACAGTTGCATGAGCTTCTATTTGCAAGAGAAATTATTCCCCAGAGAGAACAGTGCTGTTTCCCTTTTGTTTATTTATTTGAGTTTTGTTCTGGGTAATGCCCTGAAAAGTTGGAAATGCTTATAGCTCTTTTGTAAGAATGTTATAAATGGATGCTTATCTCAGGCAGTAAATATTTTTATTTCTTTAAATAGAAATACCAAGTCAAGGAACAGAATTAAACAGGAATAATAAGTCATGACCAGCAACAGATTTTCCATTTGCTACAGCAAAATGTTTCATTTTATTTTCTTTTTTTTTCTCCATAGGAATTACAAACCAGTTGCTTCATCATAACTCCTGAGAGATGTGGTGCTGCCCAGAGCCCAGTGCCAGCCCTGTTTTCCATGCAGGTGCAAAGGCAAAAACAGCTCAGCCCTGGGCAGAGCCAGAGCTCCACCAGAGCATCACAGGCCGTGAACAGCAAAGCCACAGCGCCTTCACAGCCCCCCTGGCTGCACTGCTGCTTTGTGTCCCGTCCCCTTGGCTGCACTGCTGCTTTCCATGTCCCGTCCCCCTGGCTGCACTGCTGCTTTGTGCCCTGCCCCCCTGGCTGCACTGCTGCTTTGTGTCCTGCCCCCCTGGCTGCACTGCTGCTTTGTGTCCTGCCCCGTGGCTGCACTGCTGCTTTGTGTCCTGACCCGTGGCTGCACTGCTGCTTTGTGTCCTGTCCCCCTGGCTGCGCTACAGACGGAGGCAACAGGCAGGCTTTGGCTGCAGACCGCCGTGCAGGTACACGTACAGGTACCACAGCACATCCGACACTCACCAAACCCGGTACGTGGAAATTCTGCTGCCTTGCAGTCTCTAACCCCATGCACCAACAAATGCTGTGTGCTCCTGCTGCTGCCAGCTGCACCACCAGCATAACTGGCTCCTGTGATTCAGAAATGGCAGAAAGTGCCCAAAACCAAAGGAGCGGATCAGGTGCCCAAGGATCTTGCCTGTTTCCCTCAGACTACAAATGTCCCCTTTCTTTCAGCTGCTTCAGCTGCCGCTACATGTGGAGAAAAGCAGTCAGCTCCATCACTTACTCCCAGAGACATAAATGTCTCCTTGTCTGGGTGTTGTTTTTATGGAAAACCATTCTATCAAAAAAAACAGTGAGAGCAGATCCAACTGCTGCAGACACAAAAAAGGTTTGCTATAAAAGGATTCTCCCCTATGCAGTGTTTTCCTCACCGTGTTTAACTCTGTGCTGGACAAATCAAACAACATTATGTCAAACAGCAGAGTAATGCAATAGGAACGGTGTCATTGCAAAACAAGCCCACCAACCAACCAACCCTGAAGGTCGCAGCATGGACTGGGAGATGGTGATCAGAGTCTGCTATAAAGCTCAGTGTAGAACAGAGCTCTTCCTATGCAGTCTAGAGAGCCTTGCAGAAGTTGTTTTGACTAGTCTGTCTTGTATAGCCCAGGAATCTTTACGACATTGCTTGAAACTTGGGATACAAAAGATGTCCTAGAACTGGAGCAAAAGCAGAAGTCTATTTTTTTTAGAGCACTGATTGTAACACAAGTGCATGGTCAGGTCAGTGTGGGCTTTCTTCCTAATAACTCCTGTCTGCTTTAAAGGCTGTCAAGCCCATTATTCACACCTCTTTGTAACCAGAAAATTAAAACACAGGCACTGGGTAACAACAGACTTTAATGATACACCTGGTTAGTACTTTAGCAACCACCTTTCAGGCTCAAAATGAATGCCAAATCACCCTGGCAATTGCTTTCCTTGTAGTTATCATCCCTTCTCCTTTTTAAAATACATCTTTCTGACAGTGGCCCACAGTTACTACTTCCTTTTCATTCTCTGAAGTGCAGAGCACTACAAATACATCATTTCGCTTTGCTGCAGTCCTTTCTGGCCCTTTGATCATCTCCTTTACACCTTCTGCATTTTTGCTTCTCTCCCTCATGTGCAGTACATCAAAAAAGAGCAGCAAGTAGGTTTTCCAGGGACAAAATCCCAGCTCGGGTAGACAGCACAAATGCCACTGAAGTCAGAAACATTGCTGTATTTAAGCCAGCTAAAATTCTGTCCCTAGTACGTATTTCAAAATGCCTTATAATTCAATAAAAGCTTTACAATTCTCTTTTTGGAGTATTGACTGCTGGCTCAGGAATTTCCTTGTAAAAGTATTAAACTCAATTGCAGTTCACTACTTTGTGACTCAGAGTAAACAATGAATGATGCTCCTTTCTTCCTTCCATTTGTTGTGACCCCTTAAAAATGGTTTATGCTGCTAAGAAGTAATTTTTCTAATAGTACCTAGAGTGGATGTTTGCTTCCTGTATTTTACAAACTTAAACCTTTGCATTTGGTTAGTCTTAGCTGAACATTTTTGTGTCTATTTATAAAACTTTATTCTAAAACTTTCAAATGCTTTAAACCCAAGCAATTTCATAGTATTACCACAGAGTTCAGAGACTGCCAATGAATGAAGTTGGGAAGAGCTGCAAAAGAGGCAGCCTTAGGCTTGGGGTGATGGACAATCCGGGCGCTCGGCTTCTCTGAGAGTTCGGCTCCCACTAAACACTGCACAGTGCCCAGGAGCACAGTGATCTGAAAATTTTGTAAATACCCTGAAAAAATACCAGTTGTCCTGTTTCACAGATTAGGAACTGAAGCCCACAGCTAAAGTAACACATTCAATATCCCAATATTCAAAAATGAAGTTAGTTAATTCTGTATTTCCCTGGCTAATGATCCGAGTAGTTGACATTCCTTTAGCTCTGCTCTCTCTCATACATAAAGAAAAAAAATTGTCTCTCTCACATAACTGAGTATCTTGGATCTGATGTAGTATATGATACTGGTAAGATTAACACACACAATTTTACCATTGCAGAAGCTGACAGTCCCATTCCTTACCCAGCTGGCAGAAGACGTGAACTGGGAAAAGGGATTTTCTTTGCAATTTTCTTGCATTGAGAATTGTTCCAGAGTAGTAAGAGATACTCTTTTCTCTCCACAGAAATCTCACCCTGTTAAATTGATCTTGAGACAGACAAATCCACATTTCAGCTACATCAGTGGAAGTGCTGTGAGCAGGGCAATGCCCTTGAGAGGAGAGCATTTCTTAGTTCACGGGATGATGAAACACACGTGAACTCACCATGCTCCAGTCAGCTTCTGAGCAATTTCTCTGCCCCTCAGTCTGATGTTGCACTGCCTCAGTACCGCTTACTTCTCTCTTAGGAAAAAAATCACTGCTACTTAAAAAAAAAAAAAAAAAAAAAAAAAGAAAAAGAAAAAGAAAAAGCAGAAGGGTTTCAGTGGAGCAGATATAGAAGAGCAGGTGCTAACTAACCCCAAAACGTCAGAGGCACCATTGACATGTACCTCAACAATTACACTTTAAACTGTTTCTAAACCACAAAAAACTTTTGTGTACATCCATATAAAACAGTTTATGTTGCTCAAGCACCAGTTTCCATTTTGATTAATGAAGAAATAAAAATGCAAACTACCTCCAGACAACCAGCACACAAGTAAGCAAACGTCCCAAATGTGCCTTAATAAAGCTTCTTCCTCTCCCCTCCCTGCCTGCTCAAGTTCACTTCTTTTACGTGAGTGCATGAAGTCACCAAAAGGCAGATTAATTTCAGTTTCCTGGGTTTTTTTGTTTTTTTTTTTTAATGCCTGTGAGGACGGAGAGTCAGACTAACAAACTCACCAGGAAAGGTTAAAGTGTTCACCCTGCCCAAAGCAAAAATTCCCAGAACTTTCTCCCCTCCCTTCCTTCTTCCCTCCGTCCCCGCCTCCCTCCCCTCCCACAGCCCTCCCGCCTCCCCCAAGCCAGCGTTACCCAATTTCTACACAAACACGCAGTTTCTATAAGCATCACCATCAAGCACCTCTGGCCTTCTGTCCGATCACATCTTGCTTTAGGGGAGCAGAGGCGAAGAGCTACTACTGAGGGGTTCTGCAAGGTAATCAACTTGTTGGATTTTTGCTTTTCGCTTGTAATGCCTAACTAATGGTTAAGTAGATGGACCAAGAAAAACTCCTGGCAAACTGCCTTGCTGGAATTTGTTGAAGTAGAAAAGCCTAGTTTTCTACAATACAAAAATACAAATTCAGAAATAGATTTAAAAACACTTTGGCTTGCTTGCTTTCTGCAGGGAAACAGAAGTAGTTTTTGAGATCAAGATAAAAAATATAATCTTTAAGTAATGGGTGCCAGTTGTATGTGTTTAAATACACGTATGCATTCTGATTGAGTTTCAGTTCATCACATTAGACAGGTTTAGCAAGCAGCAGTCCCCCGGGACCATGTTCCAGCTGTTTCACTCAGCTCCGCACCGGCTGTGTGTGTCTTTCTCTCCAGCCATACTGCTGCAAAACGCCCTGAATTCTTTGTACCTTCCTGTATCTTTTGCAGGCTCGAAATTGCCAAGATGTTTCTGATTCTTTCTCTGGTCATTGGGCTTACCCTGTCTGCCTCTGGTGTCATGACAGACAAGGAAACTGACCCATGCCAGGAGTCACTGAATGAAATACAGAAACAAGTGAACGACCTCTGGCAGAATTTGCTCTACCCAGTAACAAATGGTAACGACACTGATGGAATGATTTACGCCACTTGTGAAATGAAGCCCAGCTCCAAAATAGATGCTGACAAGCCACAAGTGACTGGACAAGTCTTATTCAGGCAGAGTTACTCATATGGAAGACTGGAAGCCTTATTTTACTTGGATGGGTTTCCACTGGATAACAATCAGTCCAGCAGAGCTATTCACATCCATGAGCTTGGAGACCTCAGCAATGGCTGTGATTCTACAGGGGGACACTATAACCCTTTCAGAGTGAATCATCCTCGTCACCCAGGAGATTTTGGCAACTTTCTTCCTAAAGAAGGCAAAATCAGAAAATACAAAACAAACCTCTTTGCCACAATCTTTGGTCCATATTCCATCATGGGCAGATCTGTTGTAATCCACGAGCAGGAAGATGACATGGGCAAGGGCAATAATAAGGCCAGTTTGGAAAATGGAAATGCTGGGAAACGTCTGGCTTGCTGTGTGATTGGGATAAGCAACAAGAACCTGTGGGAAGAGAAACTGCCTGAGGTTACGGACAAGAAGAAGAGAGGGCTCAACAGAAGAACATACAGCCAGGCTTAGGTGAAGTCCAAAATGCCAGCTACAGCCTGGGCAGCACAAAGCAACTCAGGCTGTGCTGTTGCCCACTAAGATATATGGCTAAAGGATTCCAATTTGCTTGCTCCTCTATGAAATGTATATCACTTTTGTAGAGCTTCCTTTATGTAAGCCCATCAATAAAACCAGCATCAGCTCAACATTGTGAGCGTTTTCTTGAAGGAAAAAGATTCCCTTTTATGTAGTTTGGAAGTTGAATGCATGTAAGCAAGAGTGCAGATGGATAGGGTACGTGGGCTAAAGAATCTGTGCACTGCAAGGGTCATTTAAGGGATACTAAAGGAAAAAAGTAAGAATTTGCCCCCCATTAGACACTCTTCTGTAGTTAGGTGTCAACTTGAAATCAGAAAGGTCTCTATGCTGTTAACAGTGTGGGTGTTGCGTTGCAAGACCTTGGTAGTGGACTTCCCCTAGAAATAAAGGAAAGTACAAAAATTTCTGTGTTGAACTTCAGGTCCATTATGTTATTCTGCTTCTGTAAGTCTCCAGTCTGTGCCTGTTAGTAACAAAGTTATATACAAAAGTTATAATGCTGCTTAGACAATGATGATAAAGTTAGCAGATTGGGGAGAAATATTATTTTCAAAGCAAAAAAATACTGAGTGTGTTACTCCATACAAAACTGTAGAAACAAAGTCAGTTTGGGCTGGTAGAAGTGAAAGTGAAAGGATTTAAGTAAGATCATTTTCAGACTTAAAACTTTCACTTAGTAAGGCTTTACTTTTTAAATTTAACGCAACTCAGAATATTAAAACATCACCCCATGACTATCATTCATCTAATACTAAGAAGATAAAAGGAAACAAGCAGGTAGAACAAGTGTATCAGTGAATGTTTTTATTAAAGATGACAAAATTTATTAATATAGTTTAACCACGTTCTGCTTTTAATCCAGGCAGCAACAAAAGACTAGTTTGCAAATAAATTAAACTGCATAATTTAGAAAGCAAACTACAAAACAGAAGCTGGTAAACAAAGTGCTATCTTTTAGAAATGTAGCAGATTTTAAACTTAATCTCAGTTAAGATTTTGAAATACATTCCTGAGCTCATAGGGATTAAAGAAATTCCACTGTCTTTATTATACAAATTCACATATGCTTAAAAATAGTCTCACTTAGAAAAGAAGCAGCATTCTAAAAGATGCTTCTTAATCTGTCATTTTCACACATTTATTTTACAAATTCAGTGAACATTATTTTTCTAATAACCACATTATCATACTTTCAAGCAAAATCCTTCCTACAGATAATGCATGACTTCACCTTTAGGTATGACAGCCTCCTTAAAATCAGTTTGTGAAATGCAGCTTCTCCATACTCCTCCCACAAAATTCCCTTCCCAGTTTGCTTCCCCAAAGCCCAACACCAAAAAGGCTTACATGTCTGGTTGTGATTTCTGCACTTCTAAAGTAGTAGAAAAAGGGAACACAGGTCTTAAAAAACAAAAACCAAAACCAACCCCTCCAAATCTAAGGAAGAGTTGAGTCCACAAAAAAATACTAGTTAATTTTACTGAGAAAAAAAAATCATTGTTATATTAGCACAACAATATAAATTAAAGCAATGTTTGAGGAAGATACAAGAATATTTAATTATTTATCACTTACTGCAGCAACTATGTCTTACTTTTACATGTCTCCTTGCTTTGAAGTCTTGTGTTCCTGGGAGGAAGCTAAAAATATAGCAAGAATACACATTTGCTAGAAAAGAAAGGAGAGGGCCAGTATTGCAGCAGTGGCGTCACACTGGAAATGAGGTTTTCAGAGATCTATGTATCTCACTGGAATTTAGGGATTACAAAGACTTAAAAATTGCATCTAGGAGAGAGAATGGTGTGAGGACAATTACCAAGATTCCCTAATTGGTGGGTTGTACATCAATATGCTCTCACAGAAAAGACTACCAAAAAGAATCAGCAAATGAGGCACTAAAATGCTGTTGATCCAGCACTGCTTCAACCTTACACCAAGCTCTTAATTAGCTAATAGCATTAACTGGCTGTGAGCAAAATGCTCATTCTTACATCTCTGGGTCAGGAAAGACACAGGGCAGGGAAATAGTAAAAGACTCTCAATGTTTCTGAGTTCAACACATGAAATCTTGACCTTCTTATTTGCTTGTCTCAGTTCTGATTGCATTGATATTTAGCTCTGTGCAGGATCAGTCTGTGAAGGATGGAAAAAATACATCTCAAAATGCTACTTCATGTGACATTCAGGCATTAGAGGAAAAAATCTTGCTAATTCTCCTGGAGGTTTTAGTTTCTACAGCTATTTTTCTTCTGACTGTCACAAAAATGAGTCAGTTACAATTACTGGGAACATCTTAACACTCTTTCAAACACTTAAACTCTTGGGTTTTTTTCAGGTAATGAGGAATTTTAATGGTGAGCAAGATAACAAAATAAAGCCTTTTCACTGCTGCATGTCCCTAATACGCTTAACTATTTATATAACTTTTGTTCCTAAGGACTGCTGCTTAACATCAATGGAATATTGCAATGTCCAATTACCCTTATAGACAAAGTACACATATTTGAGGAGCACTGTAAGTGTGGCTTTGTATCCTGCAGACAGACACTGAAAGGGTTACACAAATGCACCTGCTAGGGAAAACACATGAGAACAGAGACAAGCCACATTTTTCACCTTCCAACTATCACTCCTTATATTTATATGTAATAATTTACATACAGCCTTTCTTCTGCTGAATACAAACCATTCATGGGCTCTGACACCTTGATTATGGCAGCACCTGCTACCTCATCTTACACATACAGAAGAGTTTGTCAGTACTGCTAATATAAACTCTCTTTATTCAGTAGCTGACAAGTGGGCTGTAAAAAACTTGCAGCTGGCAGTTATTTGTCAAATAAGTACCCAGACTGGGAGGGATTTTCCTTTTTATTAGTAGTATTTTATTAAATTTGCTTTAATTCTTTCTGATTGGTTTCAAGTTCTAGGAGTGAGAAATGAAGATTTACAGACAATTAGGTCCCAAGCCAGCAGAAAAATTGCCTTGATGGCTGCTGGCCCTCAGAAGTTCCACAGCTGCAGAGACTATTCCTTGTGCTACAAACAGGAGAGGAAAGACCTGCCTCCCCTTCCTCAACAGCTGCTAACTTCAACGTTAAGCATTCCCTCGTTGCTGCCTTCCTAGAAGCAGAGTGGCACAGCTCCAGCATCAGGACCAAGCTAGGGAATGACACAGCAGCTCCCTTTCCCCCAGTTATTATAGGAATGCTTTTCTATGATTAAACCTCTTCAAGAGAAGACGTTTTAAAAAGTGGCAATAATGCAAATAATCCTTCTATCATACCATAGACTGGTGAAATGAGGAGGGAAGGAAGAGTTAGCCTTAATTCCAAGTAATAAGAAAATTTAAAAATACACAAAATTCCTTTAGAAAGGAGAGTACAGATGGAGTAGGCTGAAACCTATCACCCATTAACTAAGCCCAAGGGCCCACTCCAGCTCCTGTGTGTAGAGGAATGCAATTCCAGAAACTGACAGCCAAGTAGCTGGACAGGACATCACTGGTTCTCCTCTTGCTGTTTTCTTTGCTTCAGAACAGCATTGCTGTTTCTTACAGTAACACTTCTCTGACGATGTTTCCTTTGGAGCTTCATTAAATTGGGCTCTCAGCATCTGGTGAAATAACTTGCTTAATTTTTGTGAGATGAGCTGGGAGAGGAAAAGAAAAATTTTGTACAGTTGACAAAATACAAAGGTATAAAGGTTTGTAATGAGAACTCTATGCATGCAGGGATGGTTTTCAGAAACTTCTTGTAAGGCAATAGTGATCTTATGCTACAGATGTACCGACAGTCACTGTATGTAAAGAGAAGCAGAACACAGTCTGAGAAAGAAGCAAAAGCTCACAGCCTTAAGATGCTTCTCAATTTATCACTCCACATTTTTCATCCTTGAGAGACATTCTCAACATTAAAATACAGACCAGCACTAGGGACCATACATGTTTCAGGAGCCTAGTGATAACAAGATAAATCATTATCACTGGTCTCTTTCCTACACTAATATAAATTACATCAATCTATATAGAAACTTCAAATCATTACAAAAAACCAACATGAATAAACCTCATCACTAATTCTTTCCCTTAGGTAATTTACAGTTTTGGTACACTATAGCCAGAACTAACAGAAAAACATCTTTTTTAAAGAATTATTAACAGTTCAGTATAAAATAATCAACCCTGCAGCATGATATTTTACTGATCATATCTACAACAGCACAGACACTGCACAAAGATTACAGTGAGATGCTTGAGGGCCTAGATTTCATACCTCAAGCCAAACTGTTATCCAAATATTCACGGTTTTCAGCAGCATCAGATGGTTTCTTGTTTTCAGAGTCAGAGAGCTCCTCAAAGCTGTTATTTGTGTCTGCAGTTTTAACACTGAGCTCTCCATGCCTTCCAGCATCCTCAGTATGCACCACATGCACGGCGCTGCTGTTTTGATCCTCTCTTTCATTTGGAATTTTACAATCTCTCTCTATGGTTTTGCCATTGTCTTTCAGGGCCTCAGTTTCACCTGTTTGTTCATTCTCAGAGTTTGAGGGATCTGTGGGGTCAGACGGATCAGGGCTGGAAAGTGGGAACTCTGCCTCTGATGAATCATTAAGCTCTGCTTCAACTCCCACGTTCTGCTCCCCCACAGGAGTGCCTCCTCTTTTCCCTTCCAGTTCTGCAACTGTCAGTTTAATTATCTGGCTTCCAAGCTTGTTTATGTCTTCTTCTTCAGAAGGTAGCTGGGGTAATGAAGGGTAAAAATGTTTATTTTGGATTCTGTTATTTAAGTTTGTTCCCTCTGGAGCCAGAGACTCACTTGCAACAGCATCAGTTTCGCCACGTTCTCCCTTCCTTTCTGCTGAAAGAGAAATGGAACAGCAGGATATTCAAGTCATTTGGAGGAATTTGTTATATATCTGATCTGAAGAATATTACTACCAGTGCTGGACCACAGAGATGTTTATCCCAGTAAGGAATTTTTAAGAGTGCTTCCCTATCCCTCCCAGGACTATTTTTTAGACAATAAACAATCAACACTAAGTTTCTTGCTGGACCTGGCCCTGTTTTGGAACCTCTCTTTCCCTATACCGACAATTCTAAAAGTCA